TTCCCATTTCTTGCTAGCTGGATACACATTTCTGAGCATGAGGCATTAAAAAACAAACAAGCAGACAACCACCCCCTTCTTTTAAAGCAGATTTTTCCAGAGCATAAAAAGCTTCCTGAATCATTCCATTTTATTTATTACTGTAGATTCAATCATTCTTAGTGAACAAAACATGCAAACCATTCTGTTGGTTATGCCTGCCTGGCTTTCCAAATACCCTCAAAACTAGGATGATGAATCACATACTTCGGCCCCGCTGTGCCAATTCATAGTAAGCAAAGAATTCTACACAGCAAGATAGGACATTCTGCTCAGTGTGTGTGGGGGGGGTGGGGGTGGGGAGGTGGGTATGGGAGTCCTTTAGCCAATTGTTTCCATAAAGTCTTAAGAGCAGGTGCTGAGATTCTCGAAAATTCTTTTAGTTCTAGAACATCCTATGTGATTGTGCAGTGCCCCCGGCATGAGGATGGACTTTGGTCAGGGAAGATGCATGTCCCTAGAGTTGGCCTAGAGTTTCCAGGCTAAAAGCATGGAGGACAGAATGGCTGACGGCTACCCTGTCTCAACCCTTTCAGGCCACCGTTCCTTTGTCTGAATTTTAAGGCCAAAGTGGGCACACACACAAAGGCAAAAACAACAACAATGACAAAAATGCCCAAGCATACTCAGTCCTGGCCACCAGCGAGGCCCAGTTCCGCTGCTGAGAAAGAACAGTTGCTCCAGTGCAGCTGGAGGAGCTTTTCCAGGGAACTGGTAATACCCTGGCTGTTAATGAATTATTTTTCGCCAGAATGTCGGATTCTTCCTGTGCTCCAGTAAACAGTCTGCTTCTGCCATGGGAAACAAAACCAGCTCCTTCCGAGGAGCTCGAGGAGGTCAGCCAAGGGTCCCCTGTGGGGGCAGCCCCCTCAGGAGCCAGAGCCACAGGCGCCTGACCTATAAATCACCGAAGCCCCGAGTCCATTATTTCAGCTCTGTCTCCTCGGGCCATGCCCAGGGCCAAGGGCAATGCCCGCGGTGAGCCTTCCCCCACCTCCCCAGACTGCCTTCCTCAGGGCTTCTCATCTGCGGCACCGCGGGTGTGTGAAACTGGCCTTCCTGGTGCTCCTGTTGTCTCTCGCGCAGAAACTGCATTTATTCCCTTGCTCTTGTTTTCATCAAGCTGTCAGGAAATGACTACGTGCATCCCCCCTTTTCCCTTCTCTTCTTTAAGACTAGCCCCAGCCCCAAATAACCCACTCTCAGTGCGAGGGTGTCTCCTTGGGCCCCTACTCTCCAAACACATATCCCCGGGAAGGATATTATTAGAGCAGGTGTTGAGGAAATCAGTCACTCAGGAGGGAGACAGCTCTCTGATGGACAAGGACACCAGCCTGGGGCGGGGGAACGGAAAGGAAAGCCAGCCCTGTCCACCCGTACCCCTGCCCTGTTCTCTTGTCTCCATTAAGTTTCAGGGCCCACGTTCCTCACAGAAGGTGACTGAGCAAACATGCTCACAGGTGGGCTTGATGGAACCCCCCCCAAATGGCACCTTAGCTCCCGAAAATCAGAGCGGCCTGATGCCAGGCTGCTGTGGCTCTTGAGTCAGCCCCAGGCCTCCCGCCTGCCATGGAGATGGAGGGTGTGCATGCCACCCGAAACTCCTGGAGGCGCTATGAGGCTGAAGGCACGGGCTGGTGGGGCAGAGCTGCCGAACAGAAATCCGTACGTGATTCTAAAGGAACAGGTGACGTTCATCTCAACACTCTGGCTTATTTGACCAACACATTCCAAATATGATCATTTTAACATGCAATCAATAGAAAAATTATTAATGCGCTATTTTGCATTCTTTTTTTTTTTTGATGATCCTGTGCATATGTTATCATCATAGCATGTCCTATTTTGGAGTAGCCACCTTTCACCTGCTGAAAAGCCACATATGACTAGTAGTTACTATACAGCATGGTGCAGATATATTTCCATTGTCATAGAGAGTTCTATTAGACAGTGCTGTGCTGAAAGACCAAATAAAACTGTGGGAAGAAGAATGACAGGTGAGAGCAGGGTGGGCGATAAGAATTATAGCAGAGACCAGAACTGCAAGACTGGGATGTTCTAGGAGCTCAGCCCTACCTCTAAGTGGAGATTAAAATGGGCTCTTATGAAAGGCCCCAGGGGCCGGCATGGCAAGGCCAAGAGAGTATAATCATTACTTAAGGCATCTGCAGCTTGAGCAGCCTGCATCTTAGCTCTTTGGATCTGTTTAAGGCAGGGGCTGGGACAGAAGATTGCCAAAGTCACGTATGTTCTTTCAATAACAATTCTGGGTTTGCAATCTAATTTGGTGAAGCAGATACAGAGGCATGATCAAATTACATGCGCCTGCCTCTGCGTGTGCATGCGTGTTCCCATGTGTGTTCTTGGCTGGAGAGAGAAGGAGGGTGTCATGTGCAAAATCCCAAAGTACTAACACGAGTCACCTCCTCAGCAGCTGCCATCAGAACATAGGAGAGCGGGAGCCTTGAGAGGCTCATCAGAAATGACGGACCACAAAGGAGACGCCTTGAGCTACAGAGAATGAGATGATGGGCATTCGGGCAGACGGTCAGGTGGGAGGGAGAAGTGGTAATCAGAGGCATTCTCCAAAGACAAGCGCTGCCAACTCTACAGCAAGGATGTCACCCTGATCCCCAAATCAAGCTTAATTCAGAATCCCACGCAGGCTTTTGTGCATGGGAGAGTGCAATTAACCATCTTTCCCCCTCCTCGAGAGCCTCATTCTCTCTGAGGTCCCCCTCATATTCTCATCATGAAGGCAGGAGAGTCAGAAACACCTCATACAGGGATTCAAATCCTGGCTCTCCCAGTGGCCCCAGAATTTTTAGGGGCTTAAAGGCCACCATCTGGTTGGAAGGGGGCTAAAGGACTTTGCTTTGATGGTGCAGTGGCAGAGCAAGAGCCCATCTCGTTTTTATTTAGCGTTTATTTATTTGAGACGTTTAAGAGTCAGAAATACCTTACCTACCCTCTGGCCCCACCATGGTCCTCAGGCTAATTACCCACTCAGTCTCATCCTCAGTTTCCTCACGGATAAGATGGGAATGTGACTGCTCATCTCACACAGGCTCGTCAGCTTGGAACTCCTCAAGGCTAGAACTGCAGCATCACACCAGGTACTCCAAGACCCCAACCACACACAAACCTCTGGATTTCTCCTGGCTGGTCTCCCTTGATAATGACATAGCTCCCTCCCACCACCATTCATTCCATCAGTTCCATCATTTAGTCACTCAACTCTGGTTCATTCAGTGACGGTTGACTTTTGGGAATTCCAAGATGAAACGGTACAGTCTTTTCCATCTGAAATGGTTAGGGACTATTTGGGGTCTATCTCCTTAGCACATAACCATGTACCCTGCTGGGGTAGCTGAGCTGCCTCACTACAGAGGGGTCGTCTGGTGCCCCCCTCCCCCAGTTAGGTATTGCATTTGGTAGGGGCTGAGGACTCTATTCCCGGGGAGAAATAAATAAGAGCCTTGAGGGAAGGATAGAGGAACACGTTGCCCCTTTAAGTCATAACCACTGAGGTCTGGAATCAGACACTCGACTGGAAATTTCTCCGAGTCTGATTCCTTATCTGTAAAATAATGCCTCCATCACATCATGGTTTCCCATATGCACAGTGTCTGGCAGACAGAGGGCAACAGCAAATGTTCATTTCCTTCTCGACTTCTTTCCCTCCGCTACCCCCTGCTTCCCCAAAACTAAGGTTAGAGAAGGAGCCAGAGGATAGACCCTTGCTCTCTTCTTACTGTCCATTCAGAGCACACTGTGTGTGGATGTCTCCACGTACAGAATACTTCCATCCTGGGTCAAACGGCTTTGGGGAGACCAGTCCTATCTAGTTTTTGGGGTCATCATAGCCAGAGCTATATTGGTCGTCTGGTGTTATAGCACTCCCAGCAACACCTTGTCACACACCTTCCAGCCTTTTCTTTTTCTTTGCTTTCTTTTTTTTTCTTTTTTTGCATTTCAGGGGCCCGGTCTTCTGGCTAAAAGACTTTTCATTTATTTTACAGTTCTTGCCCAAATGCCCACCAACCAAGTTCTCATACTGGCAACTGGCATCACCTGCAAAGCTGTTTTCTCATTTGTTTCTGAGATGGGCAGCCTTTCCTGGGCCAAACCTCACCTCTGGTTTTCTTTGCATGATAAAAGGCCTCCCTAGGTGGCTAAATGGTCCCATGGGCTAATGCCAAAGCAGCCAGGACCCCCAAGATCCAGTCTGACTTGGCTCCTGGTGCTCAGCCACCTTGTGGATGCCTCTGGCAGGCATCTGGCAGGATGAGACAGATGTGCCCGCTCACGGGATACTGTGTATGGGGTGGGGTACAGTGGCTTCTCTGGGCTTCTAAGGGGCAGAGAAACTGGGATGCCCCCCAGCTTTCAGCCTTCCAGCCACCCCGCTGCCTTCCAAAAGAAGCACGGCTCCCCGTGTTCCCCTTTGAGAAGAAAACGCCAAGGACAATCAGTGGGTAGGGGCTCCCACCCGCTAGCCTCCCCACTGCCCTCCCACTAGCCTCCCCACTGTACTGCCACCTCTTTCCTGTAACAAAGGCACATCACAACACATTTTCAAAGTTATCCGAAATCTCCTGGTCAATCAACAAACGATTCTGGTGACTCGAAAGGAGGAAAAGAGACATAGAAAACAGTCCCGGAAAGACTCACCGGGGAAAGCAAAGAAAACCTTGCCCGCTGCATGCAAAGCTAAGAATCGTTTTCTCCCTGCTGGCTGCTTTTCTCTCTGTTCTAAAGAGAAGCTTCCAAGAATCAGCTAAATAAAGGGATCACACCAGAGGATGAGAGATAATGCTAAACCAACAAAAACAAAGACCCAAAATGAAACAGAGCCAGCCATGAGAATCCGCGGTTATCAAAACTTTGTTTGGCCGTATCTATTTATCATCGCTGCACACCCGGGCTCTGCGGAATATCATTCTGTTGATGTCACTTACCCTCAGCAAAATATTTACACATCCTTAAAAACGCCAGATGAGGGGGGCCGCCCGCGCACTGCCGCGAGCGGCCCCTCGAGCCCCGTCGCAGAGTTCTGGGCAGACCGTGAGGTGGGGGCACGACGGTGGGTGGCTCCAGCGGGCACAGGTAAAAGCGCCTGACAGTCCCCCGGAACGCGGCCACCCAGGCGCTGCGCCCTGCCCTGCCCACCTCTCCCCTACCTGACTCTGCAAAAAGCAACCACATCGCCGATTACTGGTGTCAGCGCCTCCTCCTCCTCCTCCTCCTCCCCGGCCCTTCTCATTGATTAAGTTCTCAAACCATTGTTAAAGCCGGGTTGCTTTTCCCTGGAAAACTGGGCTGAATTCATTAAGCTTCCCCCATCACAAAAGGAATATTCATAAAAGTTTGGCAGGCAGAGAGGGAAGCGGACTGCGTGCCTCGGGGTGGGTGACAATTCGTTCCTCCAAAGCCACCTTCTTCTTCCGTGCCTCATCCCTCTCTCCGGCCATCCGTCGTGCCCCAAACCTACTCCAGGGACTTCTGATAGGGAAGCACAAAGCAGCAGCTGTTGGCAACATTTCTACCCCTCGCCGGCAACTGTGGTGGGATGCCATTTCCCCACCCAGGCGGAGCTTATCCTGAACAATAGTCGGGCTTTAAACGGCAAACAAGCAAACACACAGAGCATAACCCCAACCCCGAAAAAGCCAACGGGGAGAGAGGCAAGAAGTCCCTTCGCAGCAAAAGGCACCACTGAAACGCACGCCAAAATGCAGCGAGAAGGCTGCTCGGTGCCTAACATGGCAGAAAGCCCTAGCTGGTGCGGCCACCCCGGGTCTGGGCACTGGGGGGCACGAGGACTCCCGGGGCGCCAATGCACACTCACCCAGCTCCGGGAGGATGCGGGGCTGGCCGAGCGTCACAAAGACGAGCCCAGTGCGATCTGGCAAAACCCAACTTTCCACCCGGCTCGCCAGGGCCGCCAGATACGTCAACAGAATCCATCTTTCGAAGGGCCTGGAAGGCGCCGGCTTTTCCGGGCCGGGGCAGAGCGACAGAGCCGAAAGCGGCCCGGTGCGATGCCCGGGCGAGGAGTCCACCGCGCGCCGCCCTCTGCGCCCTGTGCCAGCGCCGGTGGCGGCCCGAAACCCACTTTGGGGCCCCCGCCCCGCCGCCCTGTGCCGCCTCCCCGGCCGGCCCCGGCCCCGCCGGCCAGTGCGCGGCGCTGGGAGCAGGAGCGGGGCCCGGGGACGCCGCGCGGGTGGCGGCCTCGCCTCGCGTCCCCGCCCCCGCCGGCCCTCCCCGCCGGCCCTCCCCGCCGGCCCCGGCCTCCAGGCGCCGTCCTGCCCCCGGGAGCAGGCCCCTCCCCGGGCGCCGGGCCCCGCCAGGCGCGCCCAGCCCGGCGCGCCCCCTGCGTCCCGGTGGCAGGTCCGCGCGGGGAGGGCGCGGGGTGGCGGGGGGAGTACCCCGGCCCACACGGGGGCGCCGCGGCCGCTACCTCGCAATCGCGGCCGCCGCCTCCAGGAAGCCGTGGGGTGGTCGCGGGTGCGGGGACTCTCCGGTCTGGCCTCGCCGCCGGCTGCCTGAAGGGGGTGCGCAACGGTGGGAGCTGCCGTCGCCGCTGTCACCGAGCTGCTGTCGCCGCCGCCGCTGCCGGTCGTGCGTGAGCGTGTGTGCGCCTGTGTCCGGACGAGTGTGTCTGCGTGCGGCGCCCGGCCTTTACTATATACACCGAGGGGTGGGAGGAGGCGGGGAAGGGGAGGGCTTGGGGGAGGTGGCGGAGGAGGGGGAGCAGGAGGGGGGCGAAAGGGTACCCGAGGAGGCGGCTGCTGAGGACGGACAGGTGATCTCGCCCACGGGGAGGGCGTGGCTGTGGGAGGCGCGGGGTGGCGGGAGGAAGGGGTGCTGGGGCGCGGGGGCGACGCCGGGGAGGGCCGGTGGAGCGGGGACCCTGCTGCCTCCCAGCAGGCTGGGGACCATTTCAGACCCCAGAATGCTGGGAGAGAACAGAGCCCAGCAGGGAGGGAGTGGCGGGTGGATGGAGGCGGCAGAGGTGCCGAGGGCCCAGCGACCATCTCCTAAAATGCCAATTGTGATACAGGTCGAAGATCTTCCTCCCAAGGTGCGAGATGATTGAAGACAAAATTAGCCCACGGACATAATCTCATTTCCGCATACTTGCCGAAGAGGTGATGCATCTGTTAATCTAACATTTATTAAGCACCCAGTGTTTGCCAGACACTGGGCTAAGAACTGGCCTTACAGAGATGATGACTATGTGGTCGCCAACCAGTACATAAATCATAGGTATCAGTAGTAGTATTGATCATTTTAAAACAAAGTAAAAAAAAAAAAAAAAAAAAAACCTAAATACTATAAATGTTTTAAGAGAGAAAAGGAAGCAAATACATTGGCTTAATTAATCCCTAAAGATGAAAAGAGTTTTTTTTTTTTTTTGGTAATCAAAACAGGATGCAGATATTTGAAAGAGAAAGGCAGAGAGCAGAAATTACTTGAATCAGAGCAGAGAGTGCTGGTCTGAATCTGGATGTCCTTTGCGTGTTCGTTTGAGTCTGGACACTCACATGAGTAGTGGCCATGACTTGCCCTTTTGTAGAATTGGGGGTGACCAGAGTGTGTAGTACATACAGAGCAGCCTGCACGTTTATGATTAGTATGGGAACTGGAACTTGGGTTTGAAAGGTTCAATTCTAACCTTGTCGTGTTGCAAGCATAATGTGGTAGAAACCAGGGCCACATTATACCTTTTGTGGGCACTTTGCCTTTGTGGACTGTTTCCTCCATAGAAAAAATGGTAAAAATTACATTTTATGATTGCATTGGTATAAGGATGAATGAATTAATATTATATATTAAAACATTTTCTTTGACCTAAAACAACACGTTTTCTTCTGATTTTGAAAGAAATTTGAAAATCTGATTTTAAAACATTTCCCTGAGCCCCTGAAAATATTTTGGGCCTCAGGCATCATGCCTACTGCCCCTAAGGGAGAAGTCAGCCCTGGTGGTACCTTTCCTTGATACTGAATTTCTTCTTTTGGAAAAAAAAAAGACTTAAACTTAGAAGTACCCGATCGACCCAAGGGCAGAAAGACACACAATGCAAGTTTAAGAGCTGATAGAAACGAGTATCAACAGAAAGTACCAGTTCCTGCTTGTTGCGGTCAGGTTCTGGAGGTTTTAAATCAGCTCCAAGTCATTAATGATACCTGTGGAAATATTTGTCTGTGAATACATCTTCAACCATTTCAGAAACCAAAGACTTCCTCTATAGATTTGAGAAATGTTCTGAGTCGTGGATCAGGTATGTGAGGTCTCGGCTGCCAGGACCTAGTCTGAATACAACTAAAGACACAGCTGGGCAATTATAATTGGGCAAGTTCATGGATGAAAGAACCATAAAGGTTTTGTGTGTGTTGAGGGGGTATGTGTGTATAAGGTAGGGATTGATATCCTGGAAGGCAATTACTAGCCTATTTCTTTTGTTGGCCTCATCACAGCCCTGGGTTAATGTTTGATCCTCACTGGCAGTTGTGATTCATATTTGTTGCCCTTTGAGGTGCTTATGTTTTGAGGAAAGACTGTATTGATTCAGATTAATGCATAATAAACAGGCATCATGGCCCCCATTTCCAGAGAAATGTGTAGTGGCACCCTTCTGTACTTTCACTGCAGCTGCCCTTGCAGAGAGAAGGTGAAAAGAAGAGTCTATAAGGGAGGGTCTGCATTGGGGGGAGGAGAGGTTTGGGGATAGAAATAGGACATTAATATGAAAGAATTTTGTTCATACAGAAAATGGAGGGAGGAAAGGACATGCCCAAACAGCAGGGAAGAACAACAACAACAAAAATCTTTCAGGGTCAATCAGGGTGATTGTTGAGATCTGTAATTCAAACATTTGGTAATTTTAAGTAAAGACTCAGGAAATTTCCCATTTTGGATCTGGTTCTTTGATCTATATCCTGCTTTTCTAATACAGAATCAACTCATAATCCAGTTTCACATAGTTGCCAGATGAGTAATTCATTCGTTTGTGCAGTAAACCTCTATGAAGCACCTGCTGTATGCTACTCACTGAGCTAAGGACTATGGTTAGAGATGGTCAACATATACTGCTGATCTCAAGGAGCTCATAGGCCAGTAAACAAACTATTACCAATACTATGTGACACCATGTGTACATGAGGAGTTATAAAATGGGCTAGGTGAATACCAGGGGAGTGGGCCTATCACTGTGCAGGAAGACGTAGCAAGTGGCATGGGGCAGGGAAGACAGAAAAGATGGCATAGAGATGTTGCTAAGAGCAGAGCAGTGAGAGATGAATGGGAGTTTTTCGAAGAGAGGGTCATTACAAGTGAAGGGAACAGCAGGCACCAAAGCTCAGATGCAAAGCACGTTCTGGAGGTTTCAAATGCTCTGTGAGGCTGGAGAAGGGGCTATGAAGAATAGCAGCAAGGAGGGGTGGAGGAAGCTACGGGTTAGCTAGGGTCTATCCTGTAAAGGAGCTTTTTCCTATAATCAATGGGGAGCTACTGAAGGACTTTGAGCAAGGGAGTGACCAGGAAAGATTTGGGTTAAGGAATGATCACTCTGGTGTTGCGTGGGAAGGGCTGGTTGCAGGGCGTGAGATAGGCAGCAGGGAGACCAGGTGAGAGCGACTGTGGCATGACCAAAGTTTGAGTCAAGGCAGTGCTAGCAGACATGAAGGATCAGAACTTGAGTCAAGTGATTCTGGGGATATAGGATCAACAGGACTGAGTGGTGGAGCAATCAGGAGGAGTTGGAGTAAGCTGTGCCTGACTTTCTAAATTGGGTGACAGAGTGGGTGGGGGTGTGATCACTGTGATAGAGGTCTTGAGGAAGAGAAGCAGATTCAGAGCTGGAGATGATGAACAATCTAGGGTCCCCCAGAAGCAGATCCTGAATGTAAAGGTGAAGGAAACACTGATAGGGAAGTAGGGAAGGGAAAGAGAGAGGCGGCAGCCAATAGTGGGGTTGCCGATTACCACCATAGGCAACTGGAGCGGAATCCCGCAAGCAAACTCTTGGAAATGATGCAAAGCACTCATTTCAAAATTGTCCCACTCAAGAGGTGAGGAAGCTGATTAAGGGCCCAGGGGGCGCTGATTATCTGGCAATTTTAACCTGCCACCCAGCATAGGCAGAGAGCCCTTCCCAGGTATTGGGAGAAGATATTGGCAGCTGGACATGTGTGGAGCACGTTGAAATGGTGGCATCCCAGGGATGGGGGTGGAGCACCGTCAATGTGCACTCCAAGGAGCTCTGGTTAGGATATCTTGAGTTGGAAGTGCCTCTTGGGTAACCACATAAAGAAGTCCAAGAAGCATTCACAAGAACGGGTCTGGAATTCAAACTCTAAGCTGCAGACCTAGATTTGGGAGGGATTGGGCCCTGGATGTTGGTCAGTGGGTGTTGATGAGCTCCACAGAAGACACATGTGACTTCAGTTGAAGGCTGAGCCCATCACCCTGGGCTGTGCCAACGTGATTTGATCTAATCTGCATAAACACTGTTGTGGATTTCTGTAGGAGTTGCTGGAAGCCCTGAAGTTGTTGATGCCAGTTTAATGCTCATTGGTATTGAATGTCACTGAGGGAAAGGGTCCACTGCTTGCAAGAAATTCTTAAGGGGTCTATATTTTACTGAAGTTGAATAATGTATTTAAAACTGAAACTCTTTAAAAAATTTTTGTGGTCAAGAATATTTACTGGATGATTAAGTGACTGAATGAGGCAGGCATTTGAAAACATAATCACAATGCAAAAGGGATAAATACTGGAAAAAAATGCAAGCAGTAATTAAATCACAGAGGTTTGAAATCCAACCCAGGCTCCGGGAAAGAGGATGGAGAGCATTCAGCGAGACAGTCCAGCTGCGATGACATTTTGACCTAAGGAATATCTGGAATCACAGGATAAGGGAAAGGTTTTGACTATTTTGATAGAACAGAGACTTTGTGGTTGGCATGGGGGCTTAAGTATTCTTCATTCAGAGATCTGTTATGAAATTTCCTATGCCCTGATTTTATCCAAAGACCATAATAGAGTCCAGTGAAATTTTTGATAATTTTGGCAAAGAGTGAATCAAAGGATTTGTGAGTTGGTCCTTCAGTTAGGCAATCGACAAGCATATCTCCAACAGCTGTTACTTTACAGTAATAAACTACATGCTTCCTGGTGGCTCAGACAGTAAAGAATCTGCCCGCAATGTTGGAGACCTGGGTTCAATCCCTGGGACGGGAAGATCCCCTGGAGAAGGGAATGGGGACCAATCCAGTATTCCTGCCTGGAGAATCCCTTGAACAGAGGAGCCTGTATGGACCCCATGCAATCTGTGGGATCACAAAGAGTCGTACATGACTGAGCGACCAACACACACACACACACACACAACACGTGGAACAAGGAGGTACTGAGCAATGAGAGCCCGAGGCCTCTCATAGTCCAGGTATAGCTCTGTGTAGTCTCAGTCAGAAGGGCATTTGATTTCAGAGGATTTGCGGGAATTGTCAAGGGTAAGAAGTAGGCTTATTATAAAGGGGGTTGCTTGTAGCTGCTCCATTCTGTATTCACCATTCCTCTTTCCTAACAGAGCCCTAATGCTATTCATGTATCCATCCCTCTCCTTTGAAATCATGTACCTTAGAATTTGATCCTAACTTTAGGATGGGGTCTGTTTG